CAAACAATTTCATCCACTAGTTTTATTGTTGGAATGAAATATAGTAAGACTTGCATTGGTTCTGCAGAAAGTTAGTAGCTGGTAGTAATCGGGTTAAGAACATTAATCATGTTTCATTCATGCTTCATACATCAGAAAATATAAATCTGTAATAAACAGTAATTAGTCAGGAATAGTTGTCAGTTGATAATCACAACCATTTATAAATTATACTCATCTAAGTACATTTAAAAGAGCATCAAAGAAATGATGCACATTAAGAGTTAGTAATGACTAGTTTTCAGTTTGTATACTCAAATAGATGTTAAAAAGTTAGAGAGAAAAAGACATGCTAAAAATTTGAAAAGCACATTGAAAATGTTGATATGGTGAAACATACTTTGTGTAAACCCTTGTTTGAATCATTGTTATGGCTGTTTTCAATTAATGAAGAAAAATTTATCACTTCAGTAGTCAGAAGTAGTAACTTATGTTTATTATGTGACTGTTTTCACAACACAGATCAGGAAATATTAGTGTAGCTTCTATTGTAGGGTTACAGAAAGAGGTCATTATAAATAAGTTGATGATGAGGTAATACCAAAATTCCTGATAGCCTTAGTACACAGTGTTAACCGTGGCTGGTGAAATTAAGTTTAAGCTTTTAAACATGGTCTGTTTAGTCATTGTACTTATTACTAACGTATAGCCCATCAAAAGTACTACCACCTCCACCCCATAGTATACACTAACTTCACATTTCGTAGTTAACTGAAATAAATAAGTTTTATTAAATCAAGCATTACCAACAAAGAGGCAGAAAAGTGCAGTCGAGGCAGTCAAACTTCGGTAAATGTCTTTGTGATCCAATCAAAATTAAGATCATTCATGAAATGAATTTGTGCCGTATTCATAGAATAATTATTGGTAAAAATCAGTTAGATTAACAACTTCTAATATATAGACAAGCCAGTGCATTTCGGTAACACTATGTTCCAACTATAGCTTTTATGTCATGTTGCCTAGTAACAAATCTAATATTGTTGTTAGTCTATGTGTATTGAAAGTATAAAATGAAATGTGTAGACAACAAAACTGGAAAAATATTGGTTGATTTCTTAATTTAGAGTCTGTTGATTAAAGAGATTTTGTTTTTTATTAAAAACATTGATGATATAACCGAAAATAGCTTAATTCAGAAACAATTTAAGTTTAAAATTGAATCTATTTTTACTTTCATCATAAATTTTATGCACTTGGCTTTAGGCTAGATGATCCAATACTCATTACACTTATAAAGTTTCACAGCACCCCTGTACCCCCATCACTTGAATCATAGTGGGCAAACAGTAATTGAACTATTCTATCTGGATAAATGCATTTTGGTTTTTATGACTCCTATATCGAAAAATCAAGCATGATGTTACACACACTGGCTTTTATATAAGTTAGATGGTGATGTTTGTGTGTGTCCAATAAATATCATAATTCATATTATATTTTGTTTATTGAGCTATCTTTTTGCTTACCTTTGTACCAAAACCTGCTGAATGAAATTTTTGGAAATGGAGTTATTTTAATTATAACTATAAATTAAGCATTTAAATAGTGAAACGTGTGAACGAATATAATATCCAGGAAATGCATATTTTTTAGTTACTAAAATGTTTAATAGTAGCTACTAGAGAAACAAAGTTGTCAGCGGTATTTTAACATCTTAAATTATGGTGTTTGACTTTTTGAGCAATTGTGAAATTAGAGTAAATTAAAGCTTACTTTAAAGTCTAATTTGCATTTGATGGTATGGTGCAAATATTTTTAGCTTGTTGATGCATAGTTATTTTAATTTTTAGTTTATCCTTGAGTCCCACATGCTGCATAATTGTTCATACACTATATGATTAATTTAAATTTTAATGCAGTGTTTTTTTGTAGATTTTGTTAGGTTCAAATTTTATACAAAAAGGTAACTGTAAAGTACCATTTTTATTTTATCCTCGGGTCCCACATACTGTATCATTGTTCATACACTATATGATTAATTTTAATGTAGTGTTTTTTTGTAGATTTTGTTAGATTGATTGTTCAAATTTTATACAAAAAGGTAACTGTACAGTACCATTTTTATTTTATCCTCGGGTCCCACATACTGTATAATTGTTCAAACACTATGTGATTAATTTAAATTTTAATGTAGGGTTTTTTTGTAGATTTTATTAGGTTGATTGTTCAAATTTTATAAAAAAAGTAACTGTACAGTACCATTTCTAATTTATCCTCAGGTCTCACATATTGTATAATTGTTCATATACTATGTGATTAATTTAAATTTTTATGTAGTGTTTTTGTAGATTTTGTTGAGTTGATTGTTGAAATTTTATAAACAAAAACTACAATATTTTGAAAACAAAATTACAGGCTAGAATTGAAAGCACTCGGCAACAACCTTGATGAAACTGAAAATTGTTTGCTTATATATATACGTTTTGTTACTAATTTTCAAGTAATTATTTTTAACTAAACAGAAGGTTAGATTTAATATTTATGATGTTTTCCATTATAATTTGGTCTGATCACAGTTTATGATATATTTTAGTACAATCCTTGATAAAGTATTTTAGAGAGTTGAAACCTTAAACTTCTTCAATCTTCACTTGATGAAAAAAAGATCTGGAGTAAAGCTTGCTTTACGTCAAATCTCGGTGGAAACTGGTTGCTTGCATAAAGACTGTGTTGTATTAACCTTTATATATGCTTACATCACATAAAACTATTTTTCCATAGTTAATCCACGTACAATTTTGCTGTGTTAACTGTTTTTATAAATCATAAATTTATTGGTTTACAAGTTTTATTGAAATCCAGTGACTTGAATGTAATTGAAACACAAGCTGGTGCTATAAACCACAAAAGAGTTTGCAGGACTTAAAACTATAATTATGATAAAATAATCTTAAACTGAAAATCTGGTAATTTTATTTTTAAAATTGGGCACCTGGAAGTACTAAGTACAGGTTGAATTATCATGAATAAGCTAGACTGTAAATGATGTGATATAATATAGATCATAGTTGTGATTGATTATAGCTAATAAATATGGTTGTTTTAAAACGTGTGGTGCTTAAATGTGCATAATACATTTTATTTACCTTCAGTATAATGATATATAACATGAAAGGTATTATTTATAGATATTTCATCTGCCTTCCGAGTGATTATTATGTAACTGAAGCATTTAATTCTGGTGATACGAAACATAAAACTTCATGATTAGATATTTCACATCACTTCAGAATGGTTTCAATATATCTGAAACTATTTACTATAATTACATATAAATCCTGAAATTAGTTTACAGATAGTTCAAGTACACTTAAGAGTGCCTTTGTTTTGATCTGTATAAATTCCAAAATTCTCTTTATGGATTGTCCAAGTAAGCTTAGAGTATCTTTATTACGATCTATATAGATTCTGAAACTTGTTTTACAGATTGTTCAAGTAAGCTTAGAATACCTTTGTTAATATATATAATTGTTTTACAGATTGTTCAAGTAAGCTTAGAATACCATTGTTAATATATATATATTTTACAGATTGTTCAGGTAAGCTTAGAATACCTTTGTTAATATATATATATATATATATATATATATATTTATATTTATAGATTGTTCAAGTAAGCCTAGAATACCTTTGTTACGATCCCAATTATAACTATGATGATGAGGATTCAATGGAAATGGATGGAACTGAAGATGATGAAGGGTGAGTTATGATACTTAGAAAGTGGTTTCACCATACGAAACTTTCACAATGTTTTTTCTTACCAATGTAGTGATCATTATTGTGTTTAGTATTTTTAAGTACTTGGCTTGTTTATTAACCACTTATAACAAGTTTTTCAATTGATATAGTGAAAACCCACATACTTTTCTCACCCATAATTTCTTAGTAGTGAGAAAATTTTCTTGGTTTATGATGTTTTTCACATTTTTTGACCAGATTTTGTTATTAAATGTATACTTACAAGTATATTCTTGTTTTGTATATTCATGAATTTATTGAACCTTAGGAGCAAACGTTCTTTTATGTTCATTGTAAATAATGACATATTACTGCTTTCTCTACAGTTAGTTACATCAGTATTATTGTTAATAATATTTAAGGTAATTCTTACATTTACAGAGATTTTCCATTTTTATGCTTAAGACTAACCTAGATATTCCAATCTAGGTGATCTTTGTGAAATATTATTGAGATTACTGATGAAAATGTTAGTAATGAAGATGCTGATATTATGCCGATATTAAGTGCATTTTAGTTTTCTTGTGTATTTAGTTATAACTTTTAAGTAGAAACGGCATCATTATTTTAGCTCTGATCTATATAGCTAGCTAATTTCAATCTGAATTTATTAATAATAATAAGTAACCTTCAAAATGCATTGTTTGGTAACAAAACTCTAACTGGTATTTCTAATTTCATCCATTGGTAACAGTGGACACATACACTAAAAGAGGATGTTTTAAAAGATTTTAATTTAACAAAATGTTAGAACTATAGTGTCAGCCAGTTTCCTAGACATTTTTCAACTAAATTATGGAAGAGTATGATTAATATTCAGCTTTTAAACTGAATTAAAAATAGTAGTGAACCTGATTTAAACTTCAAATACCACTTGTGATGCTTATAGCACTTTAATATTTTAGAAATATCTCTAAACTCAACCGCTAAAATTACTTGCATGTTCTATAAGTTCCAGACTTCTATCTTGAAGGAGAAACAAATAGAAGGTAATTAGAACAAGAATTGCTATAAATATATAACACTTGAGAAACGCGATAAGCAAAAATGAGGTTAAAAGTAACAATTGTCGAAGGATTTTACAAACTGAAAGAAGAACTTTACCTAATTACAACCTCCAATACTTGTCAGTAACTATAAATGATTTTAACTTAGTGATACGCAAGGAAGAACTGAAAATCTCAGTGGAACTATAAAACGTGTCAAAACCTGTTACCCCAACATAAGTAACTCATGAATAAAGCTTATTAAGGATAGGTTTTTGTTTGTTGTTCACTGATACTCAGTTTTCTGATTGATTTCCAGCCTATGTCACACTTGTTTCGTCCAGCATTATGTATATTTGAAAGCTACGAGAGAGACATCTTTTTGTTTCATCCTCTGCTAATGAAATGCTCTCAAAGGGCACTTAAAGTAAACAAATGAAGTTCATATAATTGAAGAAACAAAAGAAGATTCTTCTTTTTTTTTTGTTGAAACCTATTCTTCATTCTTTGCTTAAACATGAAATAACTGCAGGAAAGCTATGGGGGGCAGTGTTTATTATATTTTCTTTTCTAAAGTGAACTGCTATGTCTTCCATCTATGAGATTTTGAGGCTCATCTTTTGGCACTTAATCGTTGTGCTCCATAATCGTCAAAAATTTGGAAGTTTTTTACACCCAATTCTGATGGTCTGGTTCAAAAATGGGTTAATTTTTATTTTCCTTAATAACCAAACTAATCACTGACTTTATGAATTTAAGATGCTTTAATAGCTTTAACTAAGGAGTTACCACCTTAGAACAACAGTTTAAGTGTTGGTCAACTCTAATACAAACTTCAGATGGATCTTTGCATTAAAAAAACAATCTTCAAATGTGTTTATTTGCAGTTTACTCTTTCAGGTTACAAATTAAAGAAACATGTATGATTTGGCTAATAGTACTGGTTGTGTTTGTGCACTTTTCTGATATTATGACTGACAAACAATTAGATGATGACACATAACACATGAAAGGAGATTATTGTTTTTAACAGATAAAAAAAAGTTAATATATAACTTCTAGTGATAGTTTTGATACTTTTCCCAATTATAGGGAGAGTGAAGATGAGTACAGTGATGATGATGACATGAGCTGGAAGGTGAGGCGGGCATCAGCTAAATGTCTTGAAGCTATTATAGCAACTAGACACGAAATGTTGTCTGAATTCTACAAAACAATTTCTCCAGCTTTGATTGCAAGATTTAAAGGTGACATATAAAGTTTTCTTTCAGTTTACATGTATATCAATTTTAGAAAGGTTAACTAATATTAAGGGAATTTTATCACTAGAAACAACATGATTTTTTCATTCCATTTAGGGAGCTTCAAACTGACAAATAATAGAGCAGTTAAATCCTCTTGTTGGTCAATTACTTGGGAATATTAGTTTGACATAAATTAAAGTAAAAGTTCAGAATAGTTAAACGATAGATTGAATGTTAGGGGAACTTACATTTTGTGAGTATTTCGTTTATACAGGTTAAGTACAGCCAAATTTTTGAGGAAATTTCTGTTACTGTTGACCATTATAATAGCAGGTGTGAGAATATAAGTATACATTAAAAAGTGTAAAAATTGAGCTTGAAAGACTTAATATATGTAGAAGAGATTTTGTTTACATATAAGAGCATAAGTATGAAATATTTATTTTTAAACAAATGTTTTCAGCCATATTTTACTAGGCTAGAGTGAGGTTACACAAAATCATAATATGAGCATTGCAGGGGTTTTGTGATGTTGAAAAAATAATTGGAACCCAGAGAATACTATCATGGCATTTTTTTGTGGATGCTCAGTCTCCCATAAGTGGCTCAGCATTAAAGTATGAGGTTAAAATTTGGCATTTAATTCATGTATTGGGCACAGCATAAATCACCCACTGTGCAGCTTTGTTCTATAACAAACAAATAAACTGACATTATAAGCTTAGTTTGGCTACCTTAGGTTTCATAATATTTTCACGAAAAATTTAATAGCTTTTGATACATTTTTTTCTTTATTTGTGGTAGCTGTGGTGTATGACATTAATTTCTTGTGTTCAAATATGATGCATGTTTTTAATATCATAAGATCCCCTTATACTTTACTATTAAGATAACTAACAAAAAATAGAAAAAGAGTATGGAATTTTATTGGAATTGTAATAATTGTTTTTGGCTAGGAATTACTAAAAAAATGGGTAGGATGATCTCACAGACTACTTTTAAGTTAAATACTTTGTTGAATGTTAAAAAACTAATTAATAAAGTTTTTTAGTATATTTTTCTCAATGTTTTGAGCCACTAATGACAAGTGTTGAAGTTGAATTTAATGTTTTTAGCTCAGTTAAAAATACACATATACATGTTTTTTTAGAAAGAAATGTGTATATCTTTATTACACACAGCAGTAATTTATTTTTTCATTTTTCAGAAAGAGAAGAAAATGTTAAAGTAGACGTTTTTCATGCCTACACTGCACTTTTACGACAGACTCGGCCCACAGTTTCTATTGGTACAGTAGACCCCAATACAATGGACCATGAAGAAGGGTATGAAAGCTTTAAGTTTTAGTCTTATGTGAATTATTAGATCTTAAATTTTCATCAAACAGATTAAATAAGTGACTAGTTTGAAAAAAAATGTTTCTAATGGTATTGCAAGCAATAAACTTCAAATGTGTTTAGTAAAGAACCTAGTGTACTGAATGATTAATTGAACAATACAATAACAGCAACTTTTACCATAGACAGATTTGATTTTAATAATTACAGTGGTTCGACCCTTATTAGTAAGTCATCTTCAGGTAAGAGTTACAATTTGAATTAAACTGCAAACAGGTTGATTGTAAATTTCTAGTGCTGTAAAATTTAGTGTATAATTCATCATTAATGTAATTAATATGAGGTTGAGCTTAGACAAAATGAAACTGTTTATTCATGTGTGAAGTAGGATACAAATTAATGTATATAGATATATATATGTTAAACCTCGTTAACTGAAGGTCATTATTTCTGTATAATTCTGTTCTGAAGTTTGAGAAGTTGTACACAGAAAATATCTGTGTGATAAAAAAACATAACTAAATAAAGACAAACCTCTTCTAACAACCAATCATTTTAATAGAATTCCAAGAGCACTAAACACTTTCATAAGCAAGTGTTATGTGAACTTTACCATTGTCATCTATATGTAACATGCACTATTCATCAGTGATGTGTATAACAAATGTTTTTTTTTCTGTGAGATACCACGAGATATTCATGTATAATATTTATGATAGTTGAGTATTTTGAGAAAAGATTATACATATATGTGTGTGATGCATTACTGTCTAGTTGGAGGGTTTGTATAAGTCTTTGAAATCCTGGCAGGTTGTGGAAGATGAGTTTTTAAAAATTTTAGTTCTGGATATCTTGGAAATGTCCTGAAATTTCTATTTTAATAAAAAAATACTTGTAAAATAATTGATTTAATTATAGAAATTAAACAATAAGGGTTTAGCTATTGAAGTCAAGTTTGCTTATATTTTGTTGTGAACCTTGTGCCTCACAAGACTTAGTATTCACTGATGGGCACACTTGATGAATTAAAATACAAAGAAAATGTACTTTATTTGTGTGTGGCTGGATTTGTCCTGAAAAAGTCTTGGAAAGCCCTGCAATTTCTTTTATAAAGTCTGTTTAAACCCTGCATGTAAGATATTATAATATGCATAATGCCACAATAAGTAATTCTTTTTTTTCCATATCTTAAAATTGTTTACAGTTTATACAAAGAATAGTAGGAAACATAACAGAAGTAATGGCTTTTTAAATGATTTTACTGCTTTTTTATTTTATAGTTTTAGTTTTTAGCTCTGTTTTTTCCTACATTTAGACCTGTGACGATGCTACAGTGTCAAGTTCCATCTATTGTAAAATCTCTTCACAAGCAACTGAAAGAGAAAAGCACAAAAACTAGACAGGGATGCTTTAACTTGTTGACAGAGTTGGTCTGTGTTTTACCTGGAGCCCTTTCTGATCACATACCTGTGCTTATTCCAGGGGTTATTTATTCTCTAGGGTAAGTATTTTAGAGCCTAGTTTACTCTCAGAGCTTTGTTTGGCCATAAAAGTAATATATGTTATGGGAAAGAAAAGAAAAACATATGGAGGTAGAATAGAAGATTAAGTCTGTATAATCTAGATAAAGTGTAAATGGCAAGACATTTAATGTATCGTATAGATATCTAGTCTAGTCGAATTGATAGCTAAATATTCACACAGGACAATTAATTATGATGCATAAACAGGATGACAAATCTCCATCTATGAGAATATGTAAAAATTATAATTATATTTTTATTGTAATTCATATTTTATGAAATATATACGATGCAGATGAGCTATAATCACAAATGGAAAAGTTGCTTTAGATGTCTCGGGATTTATTTATGATTTTTTATGTTGTTATAATTACTGTAATGTTGCCTTTTGACTGTAAAATGAGATGAAGAAATTAAAGTTCGCCTCTTTCTAATGCTGATAAAAGATTAAATTTGTTGCATCATAGAAAATTAGAATGAGGTCTCTAACTGCTTTTTTTTTTTAAATTATCATCTAAAATGTGTATATGGTAGAGCTGGGCAGTTAACTTTATTATTCAGTATAATTGGTTACCTATGAGCATTGATTACATAAATTAGTATCAAGTAATTAATTGGTTCATCAAAATTGTGAGTAAATTGATTAATCCTATGACTACTGGCCAGTCTTTAAATTCCTTTCTGAGCATGTCGCAAAGTGCTACTGAGTTACATTTTTCTATGTATATGTAATAAAATATATTGTATATCACTAACAAGTCCTGTAATAGTCATTATCAACATTTTGAGGCTTATCATGACCATATACTCACATCTAATGTTGATAATACATGTATAGTAATACCTGAACCTTCATGACACCATGGATTGGATAATTCAATCATATATGACCAGGAATAGTGTTTAATACTACTATTTTATTAAATTACTTAAAAAATAAGCTAAGAACTTGTCAATTATAGTTGTTAGTTTTCATAAATGAATCTTTTAAAATACTGACAGCATATTTCTCATAATAATTGTTATGGTATGAATGCTGTTTCTAAGCTGACAAAGCATTATTATAATTAATTATATTTGTCATAAAACATTAGTATTAGGCCTATTACATTTTTAACTACATCAGACAGTGTGTGGTTGAAATAAGCTCTTCTTCTTGAAATACTCCAGAGACTGAATGAAGAATGTGATGTTAAAAATATAAGCTTAATAGTAATATGGCAAGTAAACTTGTTGTAGTATAATAATGGCTGGAGACGGCTTGAATGGGTAATGAAGAAAAACTTTAATACAAGTTTAACATAACAGCAAATGTACAACATTTGTACCTGATGATGACAAAACCTTGTTGAAACGTTGTACATTTGCTGTTATGTTAAACTTGTATTAAAGTTTTTCTTCATTACCCATTCAAGCCGTCTCCGGCCATTATTAGTCTCAAAGTGGGTTCCTCGTCACCGAACTTGTTGTAGTATGTTTTAATGACCACAATGAGTATGTTATTTTATCTTTTTACTTCTTTCTTACGTTAGACAATTGAACAAATGCTTGGAACATGTTCCTTAGCTTTTATCTGTAAGATGTGATGAATCATTTGTATTCATACCACAGTCTATTAATGCGGTAGCAACATTCTTTAATTGTCCCTAAATGTGGTTGTTACGAACGTTTGTACATAGAAGCCTGAACTTCTTGGCAACCTTGTGAAAATGCATTATTCTGGCAATAGCTAATTCTTTGCACCACGTTAAGTGGGCTATAGCATTGTTTTGCAGTCGCTATTAAAAATATATATATATAACAAGCTTATTTTTACATTTAGCGATAAAAGTACCAGTTCAAACATGAAGATTGATACCTTATCCTTTCTGAACTGTCTGCTGACTTCGCATAGCCCCGAGGTTTTCCATCCACACATTTCAACCGTACTTCCAGTAAGTGCATTTTTACACTGGTCTATCATTACAGTATTTGATGTTGGTAACTTTGCCTCCATAAATAATATTTAACTGTTAGTAACTTTATGTCACTCAGATATTCTATATAGACTCCTCTATACTGTGTCTATTTGTATATGTAGTATCTTAGAGACATTTTTTTCCATCTATCTCGAAAAGCTTCTGTATAAGTGCTGCAGCTTTGTTTTGTCTTCCTTAACAACATTTGTTATTAAGGTTCCAATGAAAGAAGCCCAAACTAATTTTTAGTCCTTACGCTAAAAGATCTCTTAAAATTTCCCCAATTTAAATATTATTTTTACCACTGTTAGTTAGTTTGAGAAATTAACCTTTAAATCAAATAAACTTTGTAAGTGGAATATAAAAATCACAAAAACATTTCTACAAAAATTTATTGCAATTTATTTATAAAGGAACCTGGTATATATTAAATTTGTCACAGTTTGCAAAGATTTCCATTATTCATTTTACCACTATAAAATAGAGGGTCAAGTTTTGTTTATCAACCTTTTGTGACCGATTTGTTTTTCTTCAGATAACTGATAATTAGTATTATACACTTCTTTACCCATTTCCTCAACAATATTGTCAGAAAAAAAAGTAAAATATAATAATCTTTGTAAATTACGGTTTTAATTATTGAGAAAAAATGTTTTGAAATTAATTTAACTAATCTAGGTTGTAATCCATGCTGTTGGAGATGCATTTTATAAAATTACATCAGAAGCCTTGCTTGTACTGCAACAGTTGGTAAAAGTCATCAGACCGCTAGGTAAGTTCATTTTTGTAACACATATTTTTATAACTTAACTCTTTCAGCATGGGCTCGGTCCCTGGGATTGACCTTGTAACCATTTTGTGCTTGTTATAGTTTTCATGCTATAACTTTTAATAAGTGTATGTTAACAAAATTTAGCAGATTATCAGTAAACATTACAATGCTTTCATATACAAAATATAACATTTTAAATTAAGTCTTAAGGTTTGTTAAGCAATGTTTTTTTCGTGCCTTTTGTTTTTTTCTTTTCGCATGTTGGATAGGCAACATGCAAAGTAATTTTCATTTTAAAATTAAAAATACTTTTATGCATCAGAAAATTTTCAAATTTCACATGCAAAATCTTTATAATGTCCAGATATTATCAAATGTTTCTTAAGAAATAAACTTTATATTTTATCTTTTATTTTCACTAACAAATCTCTGTATGGGTTTGGTAGATTTGACCGATCTTGGAACCACTATAAAAAATTAGGAAATAAATATAAATTATACCTCTTTTGTTCTAGAATGACAACAAATTACAACATGAAAACATAAATGTTTAGACTAACTAGCTTAAATCTAATCACAAAAATAACAATATACATTTATTATATTGAACTTCCAGCCATGCCTGGCCAACAATACAGAAGTTACAATGACACAACACGTGCATTCATCTTACTGTATCAAATAACATAAAACTGACCTTTGTTCTGTACAAAGTAACTCGTCTTGGCTGTGTTTTAGTATACTCGTATTTTGTAAAGTAACATTTCCATTATTATGCTACTTTGAAATAAGTTCTTGAAGTTATTTTTCCTAAAACATAGAACAGTAAATAAAGAAGTAAAGCAAACAATTTAGTTATGACCTTTGTACTCGATTGCTGCTTGATGTAGGTTGCTAAGCCTTTAAAAATTTTGCACATGGAGGA